AAATGTGAGGATAATTTACTCCATGAGAACCTACCATAGACCTCAAACATAATTTTGCCGGAGCAGGGCACGCTTGATGGCTTCTCAAGCACAAAAGCCAACGTGGCCGTTTCGCCGTTTGGGACTGCAACAACACCGCCACATACATGCAGGTTCAATATTCCCCCTAGAGTCCCACTTGTGCAAAATTTGATGCTAAAGACCCCCAATTAGCGATTGTACGAAGGCTAAGAAAACACTCCGGGGAGAGTTGTCACAAAGCTGAATCAAGTGGTCACCTTTTGTGCTACACTCACTGCCATTTTTTTCCATATCGTCCAGCAGCAACACGACCGCCTCCTCGGTTACACAAGCTGTATCTCGTCTAAACTGCATACACACAAATGGGATGTCACAGAACAGGGGTATGTGGCACGGAAACGAAACCAGATACTGTCCATGCACACGCGTAGTTGCAGGGTGGGGAAGGGGTTGCTTAGCGGACATGATGGTGGGTTGCACCACGCCAAGAAGTCAAGGCCTTTTGGAACTGAACAAATCCGCTCTCGTTTGTGCCTTCCTGTACGCATGCACACGCATTCCTGTTACATTTGTAATTTCAGTTCAATGGTTGCCCGCTCACATCAGCAACTGTGAGGAAGGCGCCTGGGGGAAGGCATACAAAGCGCATTGCGTGCCAAGCTACTTACCACTTCAGTTATTTTTATATATATATTCACAGGTAGTCCACTTCCCAGGGTAAAGTCGGATCTGACATAACCTATGGGATTTCCAGCGCAATAAGAAAACATATATGAAAGCGAAAGGGCGTAAACTATGAGCATGCATCGTAGGAGTTCGCGTATAAAATGATCGAGGAACGGGGCAGAATGATTACACTTTCAGCCATGATCATGTGGATATCAACTACACTCAATACTGGGGCAATAGCCTCACTTGCGTAGGGGCCACTGTGAAGGAAGCAAAGGCCACTTGCTACTTCTTCCACCTTCTGCAATACTTGGCGCAACCGTTGGAAGCGCTGAAATACGCACAGCAAGCAACCACCAACAATCAGACTCAAGAATCCACCAATTACCCGTCTAGAGAGCTTACCGACGGGCCAAGAGTGTAGTATGAACGCTCTGTGTTGCGTGTGTAGTATGAACGCTCTGTGTTGCGTGTGAAAGACCTTCCTACAAAGTCCCTCTTGCTCAGGGTGCTGGAATTTAAGTCATGCTGGATGCCAACTTAAACGTACTTGTCCAGTTCCCAGTTTTGGGTAATGATAGGGACGTTTGACCTTTTCGTAATGACTAGAGTTCAACTCTCCAACAAGCACTTCAGTCGTGTGTTCGACCCAACCCCCTGGAGGATGTGCGCCGCTGGCGGCGTTGTCAAAGCCTTCTGATCCAGCAGCTGATGTGGAAGGCTCGGAAAGACCGGAAGGACCTGGAGAAGGCTCTTTGAGCAAAGGACTACTTTCTCCAGCTGCCCCCGACTTTTTTGGATCACTTCGCTTCCAAAACTTCCACCAGGGTTCCTTCCCGCCCTCTTTTGAACGCCTGCCGCTTCGGTCGCTCACTCCACTGCACTCGTCATCGTCCTCGTCCTCGCTATCAGAAACCTGAACGGAGCGTAAAAAGTAGGGTGCTCAACACGGACTCGCCTGAGCAACCATGACGAGGTACTCCTGTATTTTTGTGCTCATAAAATGTAAAGTAGCCTTACAACCTGCAAAGGTTGATGTTTTCCACTTCTTCCTCCGCCTTCTGCCAGCATCCTGACAGATCTCCCCATATTAGACGCAAGTTGCGCGGTGCACTTAACAATCAAGAATACGAGGGCAGCAGAGGCTGCCACCAATATGACATGTCGCCAAGAAGCTCTTTGGCCGCGAACACGTCGCTTATATGCGTCCTTTTGGACATTTTCACTCTGTAGGTGTGGGTCTGCTAGGAAGGTTTCCGCAACAAAAGATCCGGAAGCCATCGTTCCTGTTTCCATTTTCGCCGCGTGATACACGCTTTGTCCCCCTGCCTTGCCGTGTTGGCAAGTCGGTACTGTCTAGGTGCTGTCTGCTGCTGCAATGAGAAAAAAAAAAAAGGCGAAGGCGAGCAAACAATTGGCTGCCGCAACCAGAAGCAATATCCGGGTAGCCTAGTTCAATGGCTCCAGCTATCCGTTAAAAATCTATTGCAAATAGGATAGTAGAGGAACTTAACGCTACCTCAGGAGAAAAGAAAAAGCTAAAGAGCTACGGAGACAAATATATCCCCAGGGCTTGGGCGGCCGGTAGAGGTCGTGTGCTTAGCCCAGCTTGGTATACCGGCATTAGTCNTATATCCCCAGGGCTTGGGCGGCCGGTAGAGGTCGTGTGCTTAGCCCAGCTTGGTATACCGGCATTAGTCTCTGCGGCAGGTTAGCTTAATTTGGCATTAAAAAGAACAGGCGTACGACCTTCATGTTGATCACCAAAATTTCCAAAGACTTCTTTCGCCGCGCTGGGCAACCAGAGGGGCTGCCGACTGCCCCAGCCACGCCCCAACCCTCGTACCTGCGCCCGCGGGCTCTAGGCACAAACAGATATTCTTATTTCATACTTATTGTATCGCTATTGTTGTTAAGATGCGTTTTTGTCACTTTCTTATTTTCCCCAAGGCAGTTTCCCGAGATCAATGTATTCCGTATCGATACTGTAGCTGAGCAATGAATAAAGCGTGCGATACGTTCATCTGTGCACTGTGCCTTGCATGTAGGATGTCTTTGCCTCAACTTGCTATTTGGCTAAACAATTACCAACGGTGTTAGCGCATTCATCCAGTCCTTTGTAGCATAGTCTATCTCAAGTTTATAGCCCTATTCTACTTTGTAGCATCGTCCGTCCGACGCTAGCAAGGGGACACCGGCGTGGGCTTGGTAGTAGCAAGCATAGATGCAAATGCCGGTGCTAAACAAGTCTCCACAGATATCTTGTAGCAACGACAGCTTGGTTACGCTTACATATGGGACTGTGCTTCACCATTAATTGCAGATGGGTGAGGTGCAACTCTTGTCAGACAATCTCCTCTCCCGCAACCCGTAACGCTTGCTTACCGGCTTTATTGAAGGACAGAAGCGACCTCCAATGAATGTAAAGCCTTGAAGTAAGGGTTTTCCCAAAACAAGTGACCTCCCTTCCCTGTGTCCAGGCATCCTGGGCGTTGAGCTCAGGGCCTAGGGCTGCGGAGGAACAGGCAGCCTAACTGGAGTTGCAGTGCATCTCGCTGCAGGTGGTGATGCAAGCCAACCTCACGTGCGNGAACAGGCAGCCTAACTGGAGTTGCAGTGCATCTCGCTGCAGGTGGTGATGCAAGCCAACCTCACGTGCGGGCACAAGAAAGCTTCAACGAAGCTTCCTTTAATGCATTTTCCACCTCTGAATACACTTGTAGAGCGTTCGTGATTGCTTGCATGCAACCTACGAAGGCCAAGTGAATGTTCCTGTGCTCGCTGCAGGCAAACCACGCTACACAACCCCAGGCCCTGAGCCGCCGCACCCGCGACACGTGGGGACAAGATAATGTGGTCAGCTGCTTTTGGAGAACTTCTATCATGATTAGGTCGCGATAGTTCTCCGATAAGATCGAGGCGTGTGGTTACACCTGCTTTCCTTGATTCTGCCGACCGACAACAGACGTGCGCATGAACATCACAGATGAATACGTAAAACGTTTGTTGGAAGATGCCTCATCACGGCTGTAGAGCAACCCACATCTTTGCATGGACGGCCGTTCCGGCTCTAATGACTCTTCAGCGGTGCTTTGCGCCGCTCCTTCTACCTACGGCTACTTCGCAGCCACAGCTGACGAAACTCAGCTTCTTGAAGAACCCTCATTTGATCCCCCACCTAGGGGTATCCCTGCATTTGATCTTCCACCTAAGGATATCCTGAACCGCGTCTGGTTCGGGCCTACACTTTCCTGCTCGCTAGTACTGTATTTTCGCTGTGGCTTGAAATTTCGCAGAAGAGTGATACTACAAACACACGTATGCTGCGGGGAGCGCTTCGGCGGGTGATAGGTCCGGCCACGGTAGCGAGCCCCAAACATGCTGCTGTAGCCGAGCGCAGCAACAGCCGTAAGAAGTCGCAAAGCGTGCTTCAAACCCACGTCGATTTCTTCTACTCTTAGCTATTTTACGGTGATCCCGAAACGAACCCATCTGTGACTTGTCCGTCGCCTTGTGAACCGGTTGTTTCCGTGGGCCGCTCGCTTACAGAACCTGGCCTCACCACACGAAGTCTTGCGCTGCTTGGAGGAGCGATGCACGGGGCATACGTAGCAGGGTCAAGCAGAACCCAGTGTAAGTATCGGTGTCTGCGTGCATGTTGGTTGCTGAAAGCTAGATGAGTATTTAACAGTCTTCTACGGTAATAGAGAATGCATCCAAATGTGGCTGAATTGTACTTGCATGTGGACCTGCCTTGCGGCAGGAATCCGAACAGGAATTGCCGCAACTTTCGAAGGGCGGCGCCTTGATCCGCCAGCATGGAGGCAGGATGAGAGGTCTGGCATTTTTCACTACGGTTTTGCTTCATCTCCAAACGATATGCAACGTTAAAGCCCCCTAGGCTGAGAATTCTCGTTGCATTATGCTTCGTGTGTCCTAGAAAGG